AAGTATTTAATAATTTCCATATGACACTTCAATGGATTGCAAGGAAGTATTCTAATATTTTTAGAGATGATCCAAGCTGGGACATTAAAGGACTACTTGCAATAGTGCAGAATAATCTTGGGTATATAATACATAGAATGAAGGCATTTAGGTCAAAAGAGCTAGCATTGAAATGGGGTTATGGAGATGAAGGTGCACAATATAGCAAACTCTGAAGGTATGGGCGGATTTGTTGAATATAAATTCTCGGTTATATTAATGTTGTTATTTGGAGAGATGAAGGTATATTCATGGTATTTTATGTGTGTCTTGCACCTCCGGAGCGAGATTTTAAGTCTAGGTGTAGTCCATTGATAAGACTTGATGGTTGTTGGCATAAGGGGACATATTGAGGCAATCTGTTAGCTGCAGTTGCAATTGATCACAATGATTGCATCTTTCCTGTTGCATATGCTGTAATTGTTGAGGCTGAAAGTAAGGAGACTTGCAGTTGATTTCTAACCAATCTTAGACTGGACCTAGAGATAAATAGCAGTCACCATATTGCATTCATGTCTGACAGACAAAAGGTGAGATATTGTTGGAATAGTTAGTGGTTAGGACTTAACTGTGGTTAAAGGAGTTAACTGTAGAGGTTAGTAGGTTGTTAGAAGTTAGTTAATTCTATTGTGCATATGACAGTTAGGTGATAACTGTAGATTAGGTCGGTTTATTAAATTAGCACTGTATATATATACATTGTAATCTGATTGTAAAAGAATAAGATCAATTGATTTTCTTCTCGAAGGTTCTAACAGATCTCTCTCTCTCTCTCTCTCTCTCTCTCTCTCTCTCTCTCTCTCTACTCGATCACCTTTGCTCTCGCTTCTGCACAAGCTCATTTCCTCCATGAGAGGAGCTTGGAACTGAATTAGAATCACCAAATTCACATGGTATTAGAGCGTTTGAGACTGGAAATTTCCTCTAAATCTTAGAACTCTGTTTCAATTTCTTCTTCTTCAAAGCTCAGTTGAAGTTCAAAAATGGCAGCTGAAAAGGTTGTTGAAAAAATTGATCATTCTCATCCACTATTTGTGCATCCTTCCGATACTCCTAGCTCAATTCTAATTCCATTCAAACTATCTGGATCTGAGAATTACAGATTGTGGCATCGATCGATGCGAATTACATTACAAGCTAAGCGGAAGTTAGGGTTCGTGACTGACACTTGTAAGAAGAAGTCGTTTGAAGCTGAACTCCATGAGGATTGGGAGACATGCAATGCTATTGTGCTCTCCTAGTTGATGAACATAGTGTCACCGGATCTCCTTAGTAGAATCGTTTATGCATCGAATGCGCATCTAGTTTGGGAGGATTTGCGTGAAAGGTTTGACAAAGTGAACAAAGTAAGGATATATCAGCTGCATCAAGAAATTGCAACCATTTCTCAAGGAACAGATTCTGTTTCAACCTACTTCACAAGGTTGAAAGAGCTCTGGGCTGAGTACGATGCCATGGTACCTTCACCAGGATGTGATTGTCCAAAATCGAAGGATTACATAGAGCATCTTCATAGACAGAGGCTACTTCAATTTTTAAGTGGACTAAATGAGTCCGATAAGCCATCGAGGAGGTAGATCTGAATGAAGACTGTAGAACCTACCTTGAATCAAGCCTACGCGATGATAATCAAAGATGAAAGTCAGAGGTCCAGCTCTAACTCAACACGAAAGGCTAATCCAATGGCAATGCAAGTTGGACGAGGACAACCATACAAAGGAAAGAAACCTTAAATGAACTGTGAATATTGCAACATGAAAGGTGACTTGAAAGAGAATTGTTACAAACTAGTTGGTTATCCAAAGACTTCAAAGGAAAGAAGAAATTTATGGCCAATAATGTGATTCGTAACTTTGATTTGAACAAAAGGACTCCATCAGTAGATGATGAATAAAGCCTTGGGCACACATGTGACAGACCTTTCTTCACAAAGGAGCAATATGATCAAATTCTCACTATGCTGAACAAAGAAAATACTGAGCCACATGTGAACACGGCAAGTATAACATCTTCTTTTATGGCAGACTTAGATTATGAGGAATGGATAATAGATTCAGGGGCTTCGCATCATATTACTGCTAGCCTAGATACATTACAAAGTAAAATTGAGCTGAGATCATGCAATTACGAATAAGTTGACCTACCTAATGGAGGAAAGTCCACTATAACACATAGAGGAATAGTAGAATTCCTAGAAAAAATGAGAGTAAACAATGTACTTTATGTTCCAGACTTCAATTTCAACCTGTTATCAGTTTCAAAAATGACGACGGAGCTCTCTTGCTCTGTCACTTTCTTTCCCGATTTTTGTATATTCAGGACCTTTTCAATGGCAGGGTAAGGGAGTTTGGTAGAGAAAAGGAAGGACTATACATAGTCAAGAAAGATCCAAATAAGAAGCTACAATTGTCAGTGATGAATGTAGCTGTATCACAGCATAAAGATGACAACATATTATGGCATATGAGGCTTGGGCATGCTTCAATAAGCACCATGAAGAATATGAAATCTTTGCAAAATAAATTGAGTAATGTCAACCTAAATAGTGATTGTTCTATCTGCCCTCTTGCCAAACAAAGCAGATTTTCTTTTCCTAATAGTCAATCTAGGAGTTAGTATGTATTAGGGATTCTTCACATGGATGTCTGGGGTCCCTACAAAATGCCTACTCATGACAAGAAGCAGTTCTTTCTGACGATAGTTGATGATATGTCTAGATTCACTTGGATATATTTGCTGCAGTTTAAGAGTGATGTGTTTGTTGTACTGAAAGTATTTTATTGCTATGATAAGAACTCAGTTTAATGTAATTACAAAGATCATTTGTAGAGACAATGGTACTGAATTTCTTAATCACCCATGCACTAGCTTACTAGAATCATATGGCATCATATATCAAAGTAGGTATGTCTATACTCCACAACAAAATGGAGTTGTGGAGCGCAAGCATAGGCATATTCTTGATGTAGCAAGAGCACTGAAGTTCTAAGGTACCATTCCAACCAAATTCTGGGAAGAATGCATAGATAAGTCGTGTATCTCATCAACAGATTGCCAACTGATGTTTTAGGTGGCAAGAGTCCTTTTGAGCTTCTATATGCCAAATCACCTGTTCTTGCACATCTGAAGGTGTTTGGATGTCTATGTTATGCTGTGAATCTGCCCAAAGGAGACAAGTTTACAGCTAGAGCCAAGGCTGCTGTGTTCTTGGGTTATTCAGCCACTCAAAAGGGTTACAAGTTGTTAGATCTTGAGACTAAGCAATAGTTTGTTAGTCGAGATGTGGTATTCAAGGAGCATATATTTCCTTTTCAACAAACTGCCAAGTACTCCTATCCCTCATCTATTGGTTACTCCTCCACAGCTCATGACAGAGGGAGATTGCAAGATCATGAAGCAGTGGACTATGAAGTATATGAGGAAGCAAACTCAGTTGATACTCATGAAAGATCTGAGAACTCTGTTGATGGTGAAGCTGATGCCACTCATGATAAACCAGTAGATGATGTTGTCAATAATAATTCTGAACCAGCGGAGGATACTCATGCAGTGACTGAAGGTGAAGTTGCACTTGATCCTACACTTATAGAAGCTACACCTGCTCCTACACTTACAGACACACCTACAAATATTACTGAAGGCATTATTGAGACTGATCACACAACACCAACCTTGAGAAAATCAGCAATAATTGCTAAAGCACCACTATGGCTTCAAGATTTTGTGGCTAGTTAGAAGGCAAATGGAGAAATACTACACACTTTAGCAAACTGCATCTGTTATGACCATGTGTCAGAAAAATATAAGAGCTACTTGGCCAAGCATCTGTTATGACCGTTTTCAGCCCGCTTCAATCCAGGTTAGCCCGGTTCAGCCCGCTACTGTAGCATATAGGGCGGGCTGGGACGGGTTGGACAGGGAGCGGGTTTTAGACGAACACATTTTGGATACCGGTGCACCGGAACCCGGAAAGCCCGCTAACCCGTTAACGGGTTGTTAACGGGCTGCAGCCCGTTAATGGGTTAAATTTTATTTTTTTTAATTTTTTTAATTTGCGTACCGTTGCTAACAAAATTTAATTAAAAAAAAAAATTTAGCACCGCCCGGTCCGGCCCGTTTTAGCCCGAACCCATACGGGCCCAATAAAACCCGCAAAAACACAACCCGCTAACAGCCCGCTAAATTCAGCCCACTAATAGCCCGAAACGATAACCGTACGGGCTGATTTTTTTGTGTACAGCCCGTCCCAGCCCGCCCGTTAAACACCTATACCTCAAAGCTTCAAGGAAGCATCTCAGGATGACGATTGGATCGATGCGATGAAATTGGAAATTGAGGCATTAGAAGACAATAATACATGGGAGATAGTAGACCTACCAAAAGGCAGGAATACAATTGTATCTAAATGGGTCTACAAGATAATATACAAGTCAAATGGAGTTGTAGAAAGATACAAGGCTAGAGTGGTCACAAAAGGGTATAACCAAAAAGAAGGATTGGATTACCATGAGACTTTTTCACCAATTGCCAAAATGGTGACAATGAGAACACTGATTGCATTGGCAGCATCAAGAGGTTGGAACTTGTATCAAATGGATGTCTACAATGTATTTTTGCTAGGAGATCTATATAGGTGTACATGGAGCTTCCTCAGGGATTCAGAAGGCATGGGGAGTCAAAGGTTTGTAGATTGAAGAAATCATTGTATGGGCTTAAACAAGCCTCAAGACAATGGAATATAAAGCTTACTGAGGCATTAATAGAATCAGACTACAAGCAGAGCTTGTATGACTATTCCATGTTTACTAAAAGTAGGGGAGATAGCTTTGTGGATATATGTGGATGACTTGTTAATTACGGGAAATTATGAAAGTCTCATACAGGAGACAAAAGATGTACTACATCACAAGTTCAAAGCGAAAGACCTTGGATAATTGAGGTACTTTCTGGGAATAGAGACCATGATATCAAGCAAGGGAATCTTGTTGAATCAAAGAAAGTATGCATTGCAATTGGTGTCAGATCTGGGATTAGGAGGAACTAAGCTAGCAACAACACATGTTTATTTGAATCGGAAATTTACTTTACGAGAGTATGATCAACATATAGGTGCAACAGGAGATGAGGCACTAGCTGATGCATCAGCCTATCAAAGAATCATTGGGAGATTGCTTTACCTAACAATAACCAGACCGGATATTAGCTATGTTTTACTGACTCTAAGTCAATTTATACAAGCACCCAAAATTTCTCACTGGGATGCAGCAGTTAGAGTAGTAAAGTACATCAAGAAAGATCCAGGAATGGGAATTCTTATAAGTAGTGTGCAGTCAGATACTTTAACCTGCTACTGTGATGCTGATTAGGCTGCATGCCCAAACACAAGAAGATCAGTGACTGGGTTCTTAGTGAAATTTGGGGAGTCCCTAATATCCTGGAATTCGAAGAAACAACAGACAATTTCAAGAAGCTCTGCAGAAGCATAATACAGGAGTTTGGAAGCAACTACAACAGAAATAACTTGGTTGTTCGGATTGTTCTCAGAATTAAAGGTGTCCATTGAGCAACCTATAGACTTATTCTGTGATAGCAAGGCAGCATTGCAGAGTGCAACCAATCCTATATTCCACGAGAGGACAAACATATAGAGATCGATTGCCACTTTGTGCGAGACAAGATCAAGGAAAGGAAGATAGCAGTACATCATATCGGGACCAAAGATCAACAGGTTGATTTACTCACAAAAGGTTTAGGGAAAGTGCAACATTGTTTCTTGCTCAGCAAGCTGGGAGTGATTAATGTTTTACAACCTCCAGCTAGAGGGGGAGTGTTGGAATAGTTAGTGGTTAGGACTTAACTGTGGTTAAAGGAGTTAACTGTAGAGGTTAGTAGGTTGTTAGAAGTTAGTTTATTCTACCGTGCACATGACAATTAGGTGACAACCGTAGATTAGGTCGGTTGATTAAATTAGCACTATATATATATATATATATATATATATACACACATTGTAATCTGATTGTAAAAAAATAAGATCAATTCATTTTCTTCTCGAAGGTTCTAACAGATCTTTCTCTCTGCTCGATCATCTTTGCTCTCGCTTCTGCACAAGCTCATTTCCTCCATGAGAGAGCTTGGAACTGAATTAGAATCACCAAATTCACAGATATCTACAGTATTATTTTAATTAAATGCATCTACTCTATCTATTATTTTTCTTTAACTGTTTAAACTATTATATATATCAGGAACCAATTGGAGATGTTAAAGACTTGTTTCCTGCATCCGAACACAGAAATTGTGTCAGACACATTATCACAACTTTAAACAAAAACATAAGGGTAAGGCATTGAAGGACTTAGTATGAAATGCAACAAGGGCAAGTAATAAGGTGATATCTAGAGATGCATGGAACAACTTGAAAGAAGATAAAGAGGCTAGAAAATAGTTTGATCATCATGAAAGACCATTCCAAACTTGGACTAGAGCTTTGTTGCAGACTAATAGCAGATGTGACATGCTCTTGAACATGTATATAGTTATTTACATGTCTCAATTATACATCTCACGTGGATGTTGCGTTAAGATTTAATACAAATGATTGCATGTGCCATCCTTAGATTGTTGGAGAGTAATTTGAAAATATTGAAACTGATATGCATGAATAAGTAATTTGCTAATGTCATTTGTATGGCTAAAGTCTTGGATATAATTTGAAAAACTGAGCAAAATTCATTTTCTTGTGAATCTGACTGTCGTTCATACAATTATTTATTTCTATTTAGGAAAGGGGAAAAAACAAATGTAGGCAATAGTTAAGATTTTTTTACATACATAGCAACAGTAGGTATTTTACAAAATAGGCAGCTAAATAAATATATTCTTAGCAGAAAACTATAAATATGGACCGAAAATCATGATTTTTGAAATATAAAAAATCCAAAGCATTCAATCCTAAAAAAAGCCAAAGTGGTTCTGATTCTTCTCCTTAAACGGATGCACTTACTAAATTAACGCCGACCAATAACAAAGAGAACTCTTTCATTTCATTTAAATTAGTAATCAGCTACGCTTTTTCTGTTGCTACGTGCAAATATGAGATTAAAACACTCTATTGCATTTTGGAAAACATATCTTACATTTATTTTCGAAGATTTTTATATGTCTTACTTATTGCATATTAACACGACCTCACAAATTTTTTTCAAACAATTATGTGTATATAAATAGTATAATTATATATATTATTGGTATAAAGTTTATTTATGTATGTCAACATAAATTTTTACACAGTATAATGGATGTATTAATTAGTTTATAAATTACAATGATATTTTTAGTATATTAATATGCAGAGTAAAGTGAATTTTTCAACCACTGTATGCATATATTGTGTTTTAATTTTAATGTAATAATAGCAGATAATTAAATATAGACATGGAATAAGTATATGCATGGTATTATAATAGTGTGTGTGAGGGTGTATGTATATCTATATATATACACACACATAAGTGGTATAATAATGGTATTTATTATATATATTTTTGTATTATACATTTATAAATACTATGCATGGCATATATATTTATACTATTGATATATTAGGAAAATATTTGAATGCTAAACTAAGGGACAAAAATTTAGAATAGAGAAAGAGAGAGATTTGAATGCTAAATCAAGCAACTAAAACATAAAATAGAAAATAGGAGGAGAGAGAATGTAAAAATATAAAAAAGGATAAAATTGGTCCCATAATTTGCGTTACTCACCAATTATACACATAGTCTTTTACAATATGTTAATATTGTAAAAGATTTGTTATATATGAAATAAACAAAAAATAATATCATTTTCTTAAATACTTTCTAAATGATGTTCAGTCAGTCGTGTATATGTCTTGGATGGATACAAGTACTAATCAGATACAAATAAAACTAATTCAAAATGTTGGGCGCCCGTTGGGAGTGGGCAACATTCGCCTCCTACATACATAAGGCCTGCACACTATTTTATGCTAACTATGAAAATATTACTAGTAATACACAATTCCTTAGTCAATGTTAAATCTTTAATATGACAAAAATAATGTGGCCATCATCCTATAAACATTAAGTGAAAACGAAAGCACAAACTCCAGTTGGAGAAAGAAGATATTATTAGGTAATTGGAATTGGCGTAATTATTAGGGTAGTAATTACACAGCTTAGTAATTACACAATTGTGTAATTACGACGACATGTTTGTTTGTCATAGTATAATTACACTATAATTACAAGTTTACTGTTTGGTTGCACAAGTGTAATTACACAGTTAGATAAAATTTTAAATGAAGTAATTATCAAAACTTAAAAGTTAATACAATAAATATATGCCTATAAATTTTTATAAGTATAAATGATATTATATTTGGTATGTAAGATGTATGTTTTTCGTGAATATACATTAATTAATAATCATATATTTATAACTAATATTGTAAAAATAATTTATATATATTTTCTAAATTGATAATATTAAATTTAGATACTTACAAAAACTAAAAACAAATATTTTGTAAAATATCATGGAATTCACGTTTGATAATATAAATTAATATTTATAAATATAATGTCATAACATTATTCAAATGAACAACATGCAATATGAGCCAATACTACTAAAACAAGTAAACTGAAACCATGAATATAACATAATTTTAAAATCCAAAAAAGTAATTTAACATATGTCAAATGTCACGACCCAAAATCCACTAAGGGTCGTGATGGCGGCGGACACCACTGTCAGGCAAGCCAACACCATTTTACTTGAAATTTCTTGTTTTAACATTTTCGAAATCGCTCTTTTTGTACATTAAACAATAAGTAATAAGTTTTACTGAATAGATACTGATGTCTTTAACAAACTCAATATTAAACAATCCCATAATCATCCCAGAACCGGGTGTCACAAGTGCATGAGCTATCTCTAGGAAACAAAATAATACAACAACTGTCGGGGAATACAAATAGGACAGATAATAAATATGGAAATCTGAAAGAGACTCTGCTGGCTGCGGGTCGTCTCGAGAAGTGCAGCTCACCTAAGTCTCCATATCAACCATGCTGCTACGCCCACTAGAGATGCAGGTGCCTGTGCAACAAAAATGCACACCAAGTGTAGCATGAGTACGAAAACAACGTGTACTCAATAAGTATCCCGCCTAATCTCGAAGAAGTAGAGACGAGAGGTCGACTTCGACACTTACTAATGGTCCAATGATGATACATTAATAATATAACAAGTCAAGGGTTTATATAAACATGAATGTAATTTAATAGAGTGAAGCAAGTAAACAATTCTTTCTTTTATATGAAAATTTCCAATTTCCTTTTTCATCATTTATACATATATTCTCAAGACGGAAAGAAACAATATCAACTTCAGTAAATTACAAGGCAAGCCATACAAGCATGCGCAAATCATGCCGAGGACGTACGGCCCGATCCAACAATATTTAAACTGTCCACTGCCAGAGGATCGAATGACGCGAACCATAGATGCATCTATTACCCCGCTCGCGAATCATACATGCGACGCGGTCAAATGTAAATAAACACAACAATCAGTCAATCAAGGATTCATCAGAGAACAATTATCCAAAGAAAAGTCAATTCCCTTTTAACAATTCACGAAAATGAAGTTTAATCTTTTAGAAATCCATTTACTAATTCGATGTGATTTAAGCAATTCAAACTGTCAATAAGATTACAAATATTCCAAGTATAGCATGTTTTCGGGTCCTAGACTACCCGGACTTAAACATAATAGTATCTATGCACGGACTCTCGCCACCTCGTGCGTACATAACCCCCACAAATAGGAGCACATAACCAATTAACTCACCTATGGGGACAATTCCCTCTTACAAGGTTAGAAAGGAGACTCACCTCGCTCCGAAGTTCCATAATCGGCATTCCACGCCTTTCCGAAGACTCAAATCGATGCACAATGCTCCAAAACTAGCCAATAATTATGTAAACTCATTAATATATGATCAATTACTCATTACAATCCAATTTATAACAATTCCTAACCCCCGATCGAAAAGTTGACAAAATTGCCCTCGGGCCCACGTGCCCGGATTCCGAAATTTTTTAAAGATAAAGTTTACCCATAAACTCACGAACTCAAATATATAATTTACTCTCAATTTCATGCCCAAAATCGTGGTCAAAATCCAAGAATACGAATTTTCTAGGTTTCCCTCTAACCCCAAGATTCTACCCATTTTCATGCTCAAATCCGTATATAATCAAGGTATTTAACTCACAAGGGGTGGAATTAACTTACCTCATGTTTGATGATGAAATCCCTCTCTTGAAGC